CCACCTGGCTGCCCTTCCCATGAACTGCTACCACCCAACACCAAGGATTTTTGTCCTCAGTAGGAATTTGTCTTCTGAAAAAGCCAAGAAGCGAGAAATGAGTATTTTCACTGGTGCCCCAGGCAATTCTACTCAGGTCACTAACCATTCCACAAAATTCCTGCTCCTTGTTCCACCCTTGGGAATGCCGCTGCAGGTCTGGGAAGGGGCCCAGCAACTGATGCATTTACCAAACACCCAGGAAAATCTTGTGATGGGAGAGCCTGGGAGCCCACCATGCCCTATGATCCCATTCGTATCATCTACCCCACTCTGGATATGTTCCTGTACTCTTTAATATAATTTAAAGTGCAATATATTTAAAATTCAATATGACAAAAACAAGAACACTGGAATGAGCTGATTTATCTGAGAATAATTTGCATAAATAATTGAAACTACCATGAGACTCTTATAGGATTTGAGGCCATAATCTTCTCATGAAGTTGGCATTCCTGCCTGGCAATCGTGAGGTTCCGAGTTCCATCCCCAGTACCAAAAACAAAACAAAACAAAACAAAAAACTGTCACTCCTCCCCAGTGCCAGGGGCCTGCTTAAACAAAGGTCAGACTGGCAGTGTTTCTACTAAACAAGTTCGGTGCTCTTGCCATGTGTCTGAACTGATCAGTGTCCTCAGGGTAGCGCTCACTTGACTGTCCCAGTTTCTGAAGTTAGATTTTTCTTTTGGGTTCTCAGTTCAGAACCTTGGCATCTGCTTTGACTCTACCCTTTCCACACACCCCCAGATAGTTCCCAGGTTTCCTGGGTCCTGCCTTGGGATTGTCTCCTGGCCACCATCCCTGCAATGCCAAGACATCCCTCACTACTCTCCAATGTACCAAGTGAGGGGCTTGAAACTCCTCTTCTGACTTCTTTCTTTGTCTGCCTTCATGCTTGCTTAAAAACAAACCACAAATACTACCCTGGCCTCCTGTTACTGCAGGATAAAATCTCAGCCCCTCACCTGACCTACAAGACCGCCCCCATCGGGTGCAGATCTTTGTGTTCAGTAAGAACCCACCAGCCTGATCTGTTCTCACGTCCTTTTACCTGGACCGGCCTCTGCGGGGCCCCTTTCCCCGGGCTTCCCACCCCTGTCAGGAGACTCTTTTCTCCAGCCCAACCCTCGGGGAAGGCATCTTGATCTGAACCCCAGTGGCACCAAGCCATGGCACCACACAGTTGCACGGCTCACACCCCAGTCCTCAGAATGTATGGACCCTATCTGGGCCCACAGCACTGGCGTTACCTGTTAGGAATTTTGTTAGGAATTTCCCATTAGGAAATTTGTTAGGCACGCTCCTTCTCAGGCCTTGCTCCAGAACTACCTGATCACATTCTGGGTAAAGGTGCATTTTAACCAGGCTCAGAAGTGACCCTAATGTTCACGCACAGTTGAAAACTGCTGGGTTGGGGTTGAGACTCTAGGGCCCAGACAGTGGGGTGTCCCCCTTCTTAGGAACAAAAATGCCAGAAAGTCCCTGAGAGAGAACTGAGAGTCCTTCCCGGAGAAAAGCGGTCATCTTTACAGCTTGGGCCTTCCTTAGAAGCTCACCATATGTGCTACATGTGATGTGGGAGCACAGGAAGTGGCCTGTGTTGGACAATCTTTTACCTATAAAAACAATCGCGCCCTCTGGTACAACTTAATAGTTCCATTGTCCAGGGGAAAGGCTGTATGGTAAGATCGGTGGTGTTCAGGGGGGTTAAAGGAAAAGGCTATCCGTCCCTGCTTGCTGATACCCAGAGAGAAGGGCTCCAAAAGATGACAGGCCTGGGATCTGTTCAGGTGCAGGCATCCAGGGCAGTCATGCAAGGGTGGACGTTGCTGAAAGTAGAAGTGTCACCTGAGGTTATTCACCCTGGGAGGATGGTGTCATTGTCCCTGAAGAATTCAGGACCTGCCAAGGATGGCTTCAGGAAGGCAGAGCCCCAGCTTCTGTAGGGCTTGGACTATGCAGGACCAAGTGACAACAGCGACACTATGTGGCAACCAGGAAGCAGGGCAGTTCAGCTGCTGAAACCCCACACTTTTATTTGGATGAGAATTTGCTGGTTTTGGGAGGTGGGTAAACCCCAGATTCTAGTACAGTTTAGAGGGAGGGGAGAGCCTTGGGGCAAAACAACGGTCTTTCCACTGCTAAAGATTACACAAAGCTATAAGCCTCGGTCTCCTCATCTGTGGAGTGCAGCAATGACTGCGCACAGGGACAACTTTTAGAGATAGTGACTTCTGACTTTTTACTCGGTAGTTCCCTTGGTTTGGGCTGGGTATTGGTTCTAGGGACTCCGCACCCCGCCCTAAATCTAAGATGCTCAAGTTCCTTCGACACATTAGCAGAGTACATCTGCCTAATACTTTAAATCATCTCCAGATCAGTTTTCATAATACAACCTGAATAGTTACCATACTGTACTGATTCGGGTATAAGGCAGAGAAAAAAGTCTGTACATGTTCAGTACAGATTCTATTTTCCAGGAAATATTTTTGATCCATGATCAGCCAAATCCACAGATACAAAACCCAAGAATATGGAGGGCTGGCTGTATTCTTCCAGTGCCCCCACAAGGAGCTGACAGCCATGGCAGGCTCTCCTGTGTTTTCTGCCTCTGGTGTTTTTATGAGTAGAAGCAGTCTGAGGTCAGTGGCTCTTTCCACCTTTGGTAAAAACCTATAGCATTTGGAGAATAATGGCTGGTTGTGCAATGAAGTCACCAGAGAAGACAAATGCGTTCAAGGGTGAGAGAACAGGGAAAGGGCCCCGGACAGTGGGGATATTTAAGCATCCCACCCTGCCTTCCTGACACTGTCAGCTGGGGATGACCAGGGAAGGAAAATCACCAACAGGAAGGCCAGGGACTCCCAGTTTCAACCAAGATTTCCATGCGCCAAGTGTGGTAGGGGAGCAGCACAGTAAGAGGGGCTGACCGACAGATGTGTGGCTGGACCAACAGGATCTCAGTGGAGGGCCTTGGGGTGAGGAGGAGCCAGATGACAGCCTCAACATATCAGGCTTTAACAGAGGGGAGACTCAAGGACAGCTGCCATGGCATTCCCAATAGCCTGGGAGAGTAAGGACTCAAAGCAGAACTGAATCCTTTCCAAGAAAACCAAATTTTACTTTGTACAATAGAGCATTTTTTATGATGTCTGGCACCCAGGTGCAGAATGAGTGTTAAATACTATTGTTATCTTTGATTAATGCCAGGGCTGGCATGACTCACAGGAGCTGGTGCTCCATCTCCCCTACAAACATCTCAACTTCAGGACAGATTCATTGCAAATCCCTGGGGAGGAGGGAGCTGGGTTGTCCTCAGTAGCGTCTGAGTTAGTTAGCACTGTGCGCTGTGCACATGTACACATTCACCGAGGACAGTCTTGTTTTCCATTGTGAATAGGAAGTTGCTTCTTTGGGCTTGTTCTTAGAAGGCACTTCTTTTGTTCTCAATTTGCATGCCAATGAGAGGCAATTCTTCTTCAAGGGAAAATAATAATTGACTAAAGCTGAGGAACAAGCAACAAAAGACCTTTGAGCTGCTGTTCTTCTTTAGTCCAGCTGTAATACAGACCCTGAACCCCAAGACTCTTAAGAGGTCAAAGGACCCCATAAAGATAGAGAGGAAAGAGCAGGAACTTGGGTCTGAGCCAGCAGTGACTTCCCTTGCAAGAGACTCCAGAAAAGATAAATCCATCTGTTAGTGTTATGATCATCAGAACCAACCTAGAGGACTGGTTACAATTAAATATGAGGACTTTTGTCCTAGTACCCTGGTAAAATGTTTATGAACAAGAACAGCTAAAGAGATCTGGGGAGGGAAGGGTACCCTACTGCTAGCAGAGGACAAGAGTCAAAGGTGCTGTTCAGGGCATCGTTCTGTGACTTAACGAAAAAGAACACCCTGTCCCATCTGATCACTGTTTCCCTAATATTCATACCGAGAGGTTGCAAGTATTTCCTGCGGAAACCACATAACCCAAGCCACCCAAAAGTGATAACCCCGGCATGGCAATTTCTACCACCAGGGGTCGCTCTTACGTCCCCGAAGCAAAAAAAAAAAAAAAAGTCATTTTGAGTTCAAAGGTTTTGAAAAGCTATTATGAATATTATGAAGCAAGCTGTAACCCAAAGTTTCAGTGTGACAAGGGGCTTATGATTTAATTCTTGTTGCATGGAGCTCTAGTTGTTCCCTTAATGCCTGTAATTATAGGCTCCTGGAAGGGGGGCTTTTTTGTTCAAAACGGTTGTTTTAACCAGATCTAAGACCTATTCATGAGCTGAACCCACAAGTAGTTACTAGTTGGCTCCAATGTACCCGGCCTATGTCCCTGATGGGGGAGCACTCAGATCCACTGGCCCTCTGCTCGTGAATATCCCCTGAAACCATGGATGGAGAACACTATGTTGGCAGTTCCAGTAGGGAGCCAGGACAGGGCATCTGGGCCTGGCTGAGGATCATAATGAGGAACCACTGAGGGATGAGCCACATCTGTGCGGGCCGTATTCCACTGCCACCGTGTGGTCTTGTAGACTTCTGGAATTAATCCACCAGGCTCCTCGGCTGGAGGAATTCCTGTCTGAATCCTGTTTCATGGTCCAGTGCCTACAATGGCTTGCTCTCTGGAACACACACCCTTCTTGGCCTCACATTAAGCCCCTTGGAAGCCTTGATCTTTCTCATTTCAGTTGACTATGAAGCTGAGCAATCTGGAGTGCTGCTTTCATGGACGTCCATAATTACTTAATCTTAGGGCAGGAAAAACCTATGAATTTTCCAACCACTGCAAGCTTAGTCCATCTGAAAGAAGGGTATGAACCATTGCTTCAGCATCTCAGCAGTGAGGATCATCTCACATGTTTCATGGTAAATTTTCCCAAGCAAACAGAGCAGGCAGTGAGCTAGAACAGGCAGTGAGCTGGCCATGCCTTGGGTTGTGTCCACCCTCCATACTGGCCCCTACCTGGATAAATCCCCACCGTCACAGCTTCCAGAAGGATCGCCCCGCTTCTTGTCCCCAGGTGGCTGCACAGAACTTGGACTCTGAGCTGCTGAAGTCCTCTGAAGCAGAAGAAAGAGAAATTGGGAAAGAAGTTAGAGAGAAATCTATGAGAACACAGAAATATTTTTCAACAGGCCACTGGCTACAGCATTCAAGATGATGGCTAGATAGAAGCCGTAACAACCTCCGTGGCCGATGAATGATTCGCTTAATGAGAATCTCCTCCCCTGACCTGCAGGCCTCAGCCTCCATCTGTGCTTCTAGGAAGGCACCCAGAGCTGGTGGATAGTATCGAGACAGTGCACACTTGAAATCGCCTTATATTAGCAACTGTAAAGTGCCCTTGACCCTCATTTATGAACTATTGCTACCATCGGATGCATGACTTTCATGGTTTACTATATCTCAAGAGTCATTATACAATGCAAGTGGTGTTTTTATATCAGACTCCTGAATTTTAAAAGTTGAAACCCAATTCCTGCTTCTCTGACGTCAGACAAGCCTCAGCTACTAACACCAGCAGCCAGGCCTCCCTTGCAATCATATTATCTACCTGGAATAGTCTGCAGCTAAATCTCCAACCCTGGATTCTATGATCAAGGTTTCTTTCAAGTAATTCTGGAAAGATGTTAACACATTTAACAGCCCAGATAGGTGCAAAGAACAGATGGAATAAGCAGGCAGATCTCTGTTCTAACTGAAAAGGGGGAAAACTGTGTTTCTTCAAGCACAGGAGCCTAATGAGGGCTCTCACTCAAGGGCTCTGACTCGCCTCTGAAGAAGCACATAGGGCAGGGAACTTTCTCCTCAAGCCCCTACCAGAAAGCGAATCTGCACAAGCAGTACCAGTTTTTTCTAGCAGAAATAGATCTGAACAGAGTCAAAGTATAAAATGGGCAGGATAGTGCATGCCTATAAATCTTTGCATTCTGGGAGGCCATGCTAGGAGGATTGCAAGTTCAAGCCCAGCTCAGGCAAAGTAGGGAGACCCTGTGGCAAAATATAAAGTAAAAAGAAGGGCTGGGGCTGTGATCAGTGGAAAAGCCCTGGGTTCAATTAGTACTGCAAAAATTAATTAACCATAAAAGCAACAGAGCTGGGGGTATAGCTCGGTAGTAGAGTACATGCTTAGTATGTGCAAAGCCCTGGGTTTAATCCAAACATGCATATACAAATAAATAAATGCAAGGAACAGAGCTAGCCCCATGAAGGGCACCTTCACTGTCCTTTTCAAAGGGCTTTAACAGCCCTCTTACTCTTACAAAAACCCCTCTTTACTGATTAGGCAGGAAAAACAATGCTTTCCATTTTCCAGCTGAGAAACAAAGATTAAGTGGCTTCTCCCCAGGTCTTCTGCCTTGAAGTCCAATCCTCTTTTCACAGCAATATTAATATGTAACACGTAGATAGCATCCTTTCTGCCCTAACAGTAACAGTAAACATATTATAAACACTCTCTATGTGCCAAGTACTGTTCTTTCAAGCACTTTATATATTTAAGTTGATGTAATCCTTATAATCTCATTTTACAGAGAAGAACACAGATAAGAGCACAGAGACATCACATGCCCAAGGCCACACAGCTTAGAGGTGGTGGAGCTGAGATTTGAACCTGGAGAGTCTGGCCCCAGCGTCAGTGCTCTTGAGCACTGCTTTACGCTACTTCACCAACAGTGGAAATTGTAGCTTTATGGTCTCTGCCATCTTGTTGCCCTGCTCCAAGTAACTAAAACAACTGAGTATGTGTGAATAATGGGCTCCAGAGCCCAAATCCGATGGCCAGAATCGGTCCTAGAATAGCACCTGGCACGGAAGAGGCACTGTCTAAATATTTGCTGTATGTATGAAAGATCAATTCTCATTTTTCCAGTAGCTTCTTCTGTAAATTGAGGGACACGTGCTTAGCCCTGGGAGCTGTCAGTGTTTCCTGCTGTCTTCGAATCCGGCCTTCATTTTTCCCTATCCTAGCAACAGTACTAAGCGCTATTGCTTACTGGGTTCCTGCTCTGTAAACAGGCACCACTACCAACAGCACGCATTGCTAGAGTGACCAACTGCACTTCCAAATAGCAGCAGGCTGGAAAAGCCATCACAACCCTCCCATGACGAACTCACTTGCCCGGTTGCTTCTCCAAATCTTTCCTTTGCTGCTCTTGCTTTGGTAAACAGTCTTCCTTGACTCTGAATACTCCAGAGCCTTGGGCTCTAATCTTTTAAAAGCCCTAATCCTTTAAAGTAACATTTAAACAATTACAGCAACTTTCCAGGCCTGAAAAATCCCTCTGCCAAGAGCTGAAGCACTCACCATTGAAAAATTATTTTTCACTGACTTTACTTACCTCTTAACTGTGCTCCATCTCTCTGACCATGCCAGTAAAATGAATTAAAGCATGCTTAATCAGCATGGCTAACTCAAGACCTAAGTGTCTACCCACATTGTCCACTCTTTGACTGAGGTTCTTGGGAGCAGCGTGAGGGGAAGGGAATGCTGGGAAGTAGACCAAATGTCATTCCTATGGCACCAGGAGTCGGATTTCAGAAACAACTGCCAGGCTGGCCCAATAAGGAGGATGAACACATGTGCTATGCTGCTGCCCTGTCAAGGGAAGGCAACTGTTCACACCAGTTCTGCTAAGTCATCCCTGATCTTTCTTCCCCTCCAAGGGGAACAGAAAAGACTGAAATGGCTCCAGGATGCAGGCATCATGCAGGCCAAGGGGTCAGTCCACCCACGCTAGGGTAGCAGGCACCTTGTGAGGCCCATAAAGGAGAGAGTGCACAGGTGGGTCCTTAGCCCTCCCCAACTGAGTGTTTCCTAACATGATGCACTATGATACTCTGGAAGAAATGAACAAGATTTGGCGTCAGAGCGAGCTGGGTTTGCATCCTCATTCTTCCTTTAAAAAATGCTGTAATCCCAGCATTCTGGGAAGCTGAGTCAGGAAGATCACAAGTTTGGGCCCTGCCTGGGCAACTTATGACTTAGTAAGACCTAGTAAGACCCTATCTCACAACAAAAAAACAAGATAAAAGGGCTTGGGAATCTAGCTCAGTAGCCTAAAGCTGCATTCAGTTCCTAATACTGGAAAGGCAGAAGATGGAGAAAATAGCAGCACGGAGTCTGCAGCATGATTTCAATAACCAAGCCTGGCGTATACTAAGGCCTGACCACATGCTGGGTAGGCACTAGTGTAAAAAGTGTGGTGCAAGCTGATAAACTGTTAGAGTAGCGGGGGGAGCTTCGCCACGGGTTTTCTCTGTACTATCTTTGCAACTTTTTTGAAAGTATAGAAATAGTCTAAGTAAAAGGTTTAATTAAAACAAAAGATATGATTCCCATTCTCACAGAACTTAGAGTTTAGAGAATGAATGAGAATACACATTCAGTCGATATCTACCTTTCCTTGCTCAGAAGCATTTGGGTCACAAGTGGTGGGAATTACCCTAAAAGGACTCAGGAACATCAAAGAATGCAAGAAGTTACACCATGACTGCTTTAGTCAGCAGGGAAAAGGGCTATCTTTGAGACTTCAAAACGATGCCCAATACTTATGTCCTGGATGCATTTAATACGTTAGAAGCAGTGTGTTTTAAGGAGGAGTAGACAAGGTGAGAAAACCCAAATCCTAGTGCAGGATCAGTTTGCCAACTCGAGACTGTTCTCTGCCTGTAAAATGAGGACTGCAATCCCTGCCTTCCCACGCCAGTAGCTGACAAGAGTAGGAGGCACAGAACTGTGCGTGCGGGGGAGAGAGTCCTTATTCAAGGAGCTGGGCGGTCAGGGTGGCCAGTGATGTTCTGCAATGTTTCCTTGGGTAGACCTGAAATACCAAAAACTTACTTTTTGGGCCCTCTAGAATTCTTATGCCCATGTGGTCTCAGGTTACAGCAGCATGAGGCTTGACTCAAAAATAAAAGAGCAGGAATCTGAGTATAGTGGTTTTATGTTATGTTATGTTATTTATTTATTTATTTGGTCTTTTTGAGGCAGGTCTCGCTATGCAGCTCGGGCTGGCCTTGAGCTTACCTTGTGGCCCAGGCTGGTCTCGAACTTGCAATGATTCTCCTGCCTCAGCCTCCTGAGTGCTGGGATTACAGACCTGTGCCACCATGCCCAGCTATAGTGTTTTTAAAACCAAAGATTGGCAGGACGTGGTGGCACACACCTGCAATCCCAGCACTTGGGAGGCTGAGGCAGGAAGATTGCTGTAAGTTCAAGGCCTGCCTGGGCTACAAAGGGAGTTCAGGGCCAGCCTGAACTGCATAGTGAAACCCTGTCTCAAAAAGGCAAAACAAAACAAAACAAAACAAAAAATGAAGATTTACCAGTGAGATTAGCTGTCAACCTTTGGGTTTTATATTTACAGGGCCATAATCATGTACCTATAAAAGGAGATCATAATTACAGGTTGTTTTGAAGGTTAAATAAAACAATATTTAAGTATCACTTAGCACATGACTAGATCATAGTAGACATCATATATGCTGTGATTTTTTGTTTTTGTTTTTGTTTTTGTTTTTCTCCGGTACCAGGAACCGAACTCACAACCTTGCGCTTGCCAGGCAGGTGCTTTGCCGGTGAGCTAAATCCCCAGCCCCTATGCTGTGATTGTTATTGTTTTTATTATAAGAAGAACAGGTTCAAAATTCATGAACTGAGACCTCAGGTAGCTACCTCAGCTTAGTGCCAGTCAGTCAGTCCTTTCAAAAGAAGCATCTGACCCAAATGTAGAGCCAGTTTGTTTGCATACATTGGTGACTGTGCCTGCGACAATGAGCCTGCCTCTGGGCCAGGGGATCCCACCACCCAGCTGTAGAAGCAGACAAGTTCCGGTAGAGAAGTTCTCCATTGTTTTGTAGGGAATCTGTGGTAACTTTCTTTTCTCAATCCCTTTCCCATGAAATACTGTTAAATCGTCCCAAGGCCCACATACTGCTAGGAGAATATTAGAAAATGCTTGTTCAGCATGTTATAGTTTATATCTAGATGTCCCCTCCAAAGCTTCATGCATAGATGAGGTTTTTTGGAGGTGACTGGATTATGCGGCATGATAGCTGA